TATTCAGAGGATGCATCTGTCCATCACCAAAGCGGAGGAACTGGAGAAAGCCGTATTGGAGGCCGCTATGAATGTAGAGAGACTGATAGTGAGCCTGGAGGCCAAGAAAGAAGGACGTAAACTGCCGAAAGGGAGGCGTTCCGTCTGAGCAAGGTTGTTACTTCTGTTGAAAAATGAAAGGAGGCTACCATTGGGGTACAGGCTCAACTTGAAGGAAAAGTGGCAGAGCTGGAGGCTGTTATTGTAGTGATGGCCGTTGAATGTTCTGCGTTGGAGGCCAAGTATTGGCAACAAGGTTGGGACGAGGCTAGGGCTGCTTATAAAGAGGAGGTGCTGGTGCTGCGGGACAAGCTCTTTCTTAAAGGTTGGTCAAGTGCTCTGGCCGTTGCTTAGGTTCCTGAAGGGTCTCCCTTGTTTCAGGATGTCCATGTTCCCTCAAGGTCCTTGGGTTCAAAGATCGTCGCTGCCCCTGCAGTTCTTCCGGCTAAGGTTTCCCCAGAAATTGATCCTGCGAACAAGACTCAGGAGAGTGATGTTGCTATTGAGACAGTGAACGTTGAAGGAGATGGAACTATGGAGGCTGAAGCCGTGGGAGATGTGGTTAAGGAAGCTTCTACTTTTCAAGAAGTTGGAGCTGCCTCTACTTTTCCTCCCTAAGACGGCCTGGACAAGATTATGGACGCTGCTCTTGAGGTTCCTTCTGTTGATGAGAGCTAAAGTCTTCTTTGGAATGATTCGAAGTTTTTGCTTTTTCTGGCTTTCTTTTGTTTTCATGTTTCTGATGTATTGCGGCTCCGTCTTCTTTGACGAGTTACCCCTTTATGTTTGCCAAGATAATTTTTCTTCTTTTCTTTGTTGCTGGTTGTGAGGCCATCTGTGCCTTTATTGGATGATGGGATTTTCCTTTTGATTTTGTAATCTGATGTTTTCTTGTTTTTACGTTTGAATGTTTTCTGTACTGTTTGCTCCCGACTGAGCACTGTTGGGACCTCAGGGTCGATAGATGCTCGGTCTGGTTCTGTACTGTTTGTCCCTGGCTGAGCACTGTTGGGACCGCAGGGCCGAATAGATGCACGGTCTGATTTTGTATTGTTTCGAATAGATGCTTGGTCTGGTTCTGTACTGTTTGCCTCCGGCCGAGCACTATTGGGACCGCAGGACCGAATAGATGCTCGGTCTGGTTAACGAATATGTTGCATGGCTATGCTTGGTTTTGTAATGAAAGAAGAGGGTCTTATTTAGGTCCAGGTTGGTTCTGAAAAATAATTGTTTGCCCCCACCTAGAGCTAAGTAAGATCGGTACTGAAGACTGTGCTCTTTAGGTAGAGTCTGCTTGAGTCTGTTACAACTTTGATAGCATAAGTGCATTTGAATGGGATAAAGGTATAAAGAGGTATCTTATTCAGGTCCAGGTTGGTTTGAAAAACAATTGTTTGCCCCCACCTGGAGTTGAGTAAGACTAGTGCTGGAAGTTTTCTCTTGATAGAGTTTAGCCAAGTTTGTTCCAACTTTGTTTGTACGCATCAATACTGAAGTGTTGATGTAATGGTACTTAAGAAATTCTGTGAGCTCAAAAGATGTTTACTTAAAGTATGTTAGTGCAATTTCCACCAAGCGATTCCACTTGGCTAAAGTCCAATCTAGTTGCCAAACATAATTCCACTAAGCAATTCCACTTGGCATGTTTGAGTGCTAAGTAAAATTAAATTTCATTCAATCGTTCTGAAACTAAGTCCATTTGGGTTAAGACCAAAGCTGAGTTTGTTTGATAAACATCAAAACTAATTCCGTCTGATAAACATCAAAGCTATTTCCATTTGGTAAGTACCAAAGCAAATTTCGTTTGATAAACATCAAAGCTATTTCCGTTTGGTGAACACCAAAGCTATTTCCGTTTGGTAAGTACCAAAGCTAATTTCGTTTGATAAACATCAAAGCTATTTTCGTTTGGTGAACACCAAAGCTAATTCCGTTTAGTAAGTACCAAAGCTAATTCTGTTTGATAAACATTAAAGTTATTTCCGTTTGGTGAACACCAAAGCTATTTCCGTTTGGTAAGTACCAAAGCTAATTCCGTTTGATAAACATCAAACCTATTTCCGTTTGGTGAACACCAAAGCTAATTACAAAAATTTTGATAAATTTGAGGGAAGTGGAGAGGCATATGCATTGGTCAAGAGACAAATGTCTTTACATTCTGATAGAGAAGTTGAGGTACAATTCTATTGATAATATTTCTTGAGATTTGCTACATTCCAGGGCCAAGGTATGGCTCTGCCTTTGAGATCTTCTAGGTAGTAAGCTCCATTTCCAGAAACAACTGTGACTTTGTATGGACCTTCCCAGTTAAGGCCAAGTTTTCCTTCACCAGGCACCCTTTTGTGATCCATAACTTTCCTCAAAACCAGCTCTCCAGGTGTGAATTGTCTTGGGAAAACTTTTTGGTTGAAACTTTTGATGTGCTGCTGTTGATATGCTACAAGTCTGATCAGTACGGCTTCTCTTCGGCCTTTTGCCATATCCAGTGCTTGTGTAATAGCTTCCTCATTACTTGTGCTTTCAAACAGTTCAGACCGGAGGGTTGGGAGACTTACTTCGAGTGGGATAATGGCCTTCATTCCATAAGTTAAAGAGTAAGGTGTTTCCCCCGTTGAGCGCTGTACTGTGGTTTCGGTAAGCCCATAGTACGTGGGGTAACTCTTTAACCCATTTTTCTTTTGCATATTCGAGCCGCTTCTTTACTCCATTGATGATGGTTTTGTTCGACGCTTCTGCCTACCCATTACTTTATGGGTAGCCTGGAGAAGAGTTCCGATATTCGATTCTGAGGTCGGCACAAAACTTTCTGAAGATCTTTCTATCAAACTGTGTTCCATTATCTGCAATCAGTACCCGCGAGATGCCGAAATGGACCACGACGTTCTTCATGACAAACCGTTTTGTGTCTGCTTCTTTGATACTTGCCAGGGCTTCGACTTTAACCCACTTAGTGAAATAGTCAGTTGCAGCGATGAAGAATCGCCTGTTCCCAGTGCCTCGTGCCAACGGTCCGACAATATCCAGACCTCATTGGGCAAAGGGCCATGGATTGGTGAGTGGAGTGAGAGTTTTGCCTAGTTGATGAATTAGTGGAAGAAACCTCTGACATTTATCGCATTGTTAAACGTACTACTGTGCATTTTGTTGCATCCGTGGCCACCAGTACCCGTGAGTGAGGGCTCAGTGCGCCAGCGACCTTCCGTTAACGTGGCATCCACAAATTCTATCATGAATTTCATAGAGAACATTTTCGACCAGATTTGAATGCACGCATAAAAAGTAAGGACCGAGATAAGAACGTCTGTATAACTTTCCAGATAGTGAGACCCAGAATCGAGCTAACCTATGTTGGATTTTGTTGGCTTCCTTTTTATCTTCGGGGAGAGTGCTAGATTTCAGAAAAGCAAGTATCGGATCCATCCAGCTTGGCTCTGGGTTGCTGTAGAGGACTGGAGATGCAATGCTTGGTTCTAGCACGAACTCAACCCAAACTTTTCTAGTGTCTTTGTTATCTACTGATGAGCCAAGGCAGGCCAGAGCATCAGCATGGCTGTTTTTGTCCCGACTAATTCATTCCACTCGTATAGATCAAAATTTTTTGAGCAATTCCTTGGCTTTGCCTGCATACATAGCCATTCTTTCGTCTCGTGATTCACTGACCCCACAAAGCTAGTTTACCACCAATTAAGAATCGCTGAAAACAAGAAGTTGCTCTGCACTGAAGTGTTCGGCACTGCGTAAACCAGCCAACAGTGCTTCGTATTCCGTCTCATTATTAGAAGCCTTCCAGCCGAGCCTAAGAGCTTGCTCCCAAATAAACCCTTTTGGTGACATAAGTACTACCCCTGCTCTCGAACCTCGGTTATTGGATGATCCGTCGACATAGAGCTACCAGATGTTTCCAATAAAGAGTTTTCATGGTTCTGAAGTGCATTGTTTTCCAGTTCGGTAGTGCGTGGCACCTGTGTCGCAATGAAGTTATCAGGTTTGGTACTCTGGGTGGGAGCGAATTCTGCGATGAAATCTGCCAAGACCTGGGCCTTGATTGCTGTCTTGGATTGATATCGAATGTCAAACTCACCAAGTTCTACAGCCCATTTTGTTGTTCGGCCAGAGAAATCAACTCGGCTGAAGACAGATCTGAAGGGGAATTCAGTGAGGACATTGATAGTATGCCCCTAGAAGTAATGTTGCAACTTTCTTGAGGCGATAAGCAATGCGTAAGCTAACTTTTCCAAGGGTAGATACCGTGTCTCAGCATCTAGTAGAGTCTTGGTAACATAGTATACTAGCCTTTATTCCTTGTTAACTTCTCGAATCAATACCGCGCTTACGACATGGTCTGAGACTGCCAGATATAAGTACAGTTCCTCCCCTGGTTCTGGAGTGGACAGAAAAGGTGGTGCACTGAGGTATCTTTTGAGACTTGGCAATGCTTCGGTACACTCAGGACTCCATTCAAACGCTACATTTTTTCTCAGTAGCTGGAAGAAGGGCTTCATCTGATCTGAAGACTTGCTGATGAACCGATTCAGGGCGACCGCCATTTTGGCCAACTTCTGTAGCTCTTTAGCCTTTGTTGGTACTTCAAGCTCCTGTATTGCTTTGATTTGGTCCGGATTTGCCTCGATTCCTCTATGAGTGACCATGTACCCCAAGAACTTCCCTGTTCCTACCTTCAAAGCGCATTTCGAGGCATTAAGGCGAAGTTGATGGTTTTTCAGGATATTAAAAACTTCTCTTAAGTCTCCAAGGTGGTTTGCAGCGAGCTTGCTTTTTACTACCATATCATCTATATAAGCTTCCATGGTTTTTCCAAGTTAGTCCTTGAACATTCGAGTGATCATTCGCTGGTAGGTTGCCCCGGCGTTCTTAAGGCTAAACGACATTACTTTGTAACAATAAGTGCCCCTTGGAGTGATAAACGTTGTCTTCTCCTGATCTGGGCCGAACAGTGGTATCTAGTGATAACCGCTATAAGCATCCAGAAAGCTCATATGCTCATGGCTTGCTGTTGAATCCACTGGTTGATCGATGCAAGGTAGAGGAAAACTATCCTTGGGACAAGCTCTATTCAGGCAGGTGAAATCAACACAGACTCTCCATTTTCCGTTCTTCTTTTTTACTATAACTATGTTGGACAGCCATTGTGGGTATTGAACTTCTCTAATTGCTCCTGATGCTAGGAGCTTTTCGACTTCGGCAATTACCGCTTCAGTGTGCTCAACTGAGGATCTCTGACTTTTCTGCACAACAGGCCGAGCAGAGGGATTGATGTTGAGTTTGTGGCAAGAAAATTCTGGATTCAACCGTAGAGTATCATATGCTGACCATGCGAATACCTCCATATTTTCCCTCAGCAATTCAAGTAGCTGAAGTTTCTTATCAGTGCCTAGCGAGGTACCGATAAAGAAGTGCTTTTCTGGATCATCCTCTTTTACCAAGACTTTCTCCAAATCCTCTACCATCTTTTCTTCTGGGGTTTCTCCTACATTTTCTAAGACTAGCTGTTCGGCCACTTCCACTATCTGTACCCGGTTGCAAAGTTGTTTAGCCTTCATTGCCGCCATGAAGCAATGTTTGGACGCAACCTGATCCCTTGAAATCTGCTCTACTCCATGTTCTGTTGGAAAACGGATGACCTGGTGGTAGGTTGAAGGGACCGCCTCCATTTGGTGAATCCATGGTCGGGCGAGTATGGCGTTGTAAGGAGAAGGTCTGTTAAAAACTAAAAACTCTATCTGGAGGGTTTTCGTTTCTGCCACAACCGGCAACACTATTCTGCCAAGTGGCCACTCTGGTTGTGAATTGAAGCCAACTAAGAGAGCTACAGCTGGGGTGAGGTGCTGCTCAGAGAGACTGAGCTTTCTGAACAAGTCATAATACAATATGTCTGTTACACTGCCTTGATCTACCAGGACTTGTTTTACGTCAAACCGTTTTCCAATTCCCACAGTTATAATCAGTGCATCAGTATGTAGGTGCTATATGCCTTCTAAATCCTTTCTAGTAAACGAAACAGTGCACAAAGGGGACTTGGGTACTGTGCGTACCTTTTTTGATGCGGGCTCTACTGACATGACCTGCTGAATTTGCATAGCCTTAGCAATTTCTTCTTCTAGCGCCTCTTCGCGCTTCTGGGTCGTTGTTCCATGAATCACATTTATTACCAGCCGAGGTAATGTAGTCTCGGAGGTGTCCAGCTGCTACTAGGTCTTCCAGGTGTTGCTTCAGTACTTTGCAATTTTTAGTCATATGCCCCCTGTCTTGGTGATAAGTGCATCTGAGCTTTTGATTACGCCGAGCCGGATCTCCCAACATTTTCAGTGACCAAATAAAGAAGGGCTCTCTCTTGATCTTTTTCAAGGTATGATAGATTGGTTCTTTGAATACGGTCACGACTGCTTCGTGAGATTTGGACTTGTCCACCTCGTTCACTATGAGTCCCCGGTGTTCCCTTTAGTTCGTTCTCTTCTTGTGCCGAGCACTTTGTTCTGCTGGTGCTACCTCGATAGGGATCTGGTCATCTTCGAGGCGAGCGTACTGCTCAATCCTGGCACACAAATTCTTCAGTGCTATGGCCGGGCGCTTGGTAAGTGACTGTCTCAACTTACTTTCCGGGCGCAGACCATGTTTGAAGGACATAACAGCCATCTGCTCACTGCAAACGTTTTCCTCTAAATCATTGTACTCTTCCCAATACCTCATAGCATAATTGCGCAGCGCTTCTTCCTGTTCCTTTCGGAGACCGAACAGTGTATCCGGCTCTTTCAAGATCTTTGTGTTGGAGACGAACCTGGCTAAGAACTCTTCAGAGAGCTGCTTCCAATCATAAATTGATCCAGCGGGGAGTCGATCGAACGATTGGAGTCTGGATTCTCCCAAGCTGGACGAGAAGACTTTGCATATCAGTGCTTCCTCTCAGCTCGATAGGGACATCATCTATCTATAATGGTTGATGTGCGTCAATGGGTCTGGCTTCCCATCGTACGACGTGAATTTTGGCAGGGTGAATTTCTTGGGAGGTCTCGTGGCCTCGATTTCAAGGGAGAATGGGGGAGGAGACAAGCTTATCCAACGCTCGGTGCTCTCTCTGGAGGATGGTACGGTCTAGATGATCTCGACGTTGCTAATTCTGTTTGTTGCCAATCAGCCAAGTACGAAGGTCTTGAGGAGGGTACTCAGTCTGTTGGCTAACCATTTTTTGCCTTTTAGCCTTTCACCGGCGTGACCCACGGGTGTGGCTGCTCGCCACCTCACTTTGTACTGGGATTGGCTGGCTCTGTTTCCCAGATTCATTTCTAGGGATCTTCTTCACCGGTGGTTCTCTAGATGAGCTTCTCTGTCGCAGGTGAGAGGTCTCTGCCGCAGGCGAGAGGTCTCTACATCGGTCCTCTTCTCCGTCGGGTCAGCACCCTTTTGAGTTGCGCTTTTAGCTCCTGTATCTCCATCCCCATGGAGTCTATGATTCGATCTTTGTAATCATTTTCCAGAAGAAAGTGACGAGAAGAACCTCCAGCGAAGGGCAGTCGATGCTCAACAGATTCGGGGATCTAGTTATTGTTCCCGATTTTTTCTTTTAAGACTGTTGGGAGTGCCAAGTCTTTGTCCTTTGTCTTTTCCGTCTATGGATTATGTGCCGAATATGGGATGTCCACAATCCCCATCACCGGAATCGAGTGCAGAGCTCTGAGGCAAAGTTTCCACGTTCACCGCAGCAATTGTGCGTACTGAATACCGTACTTGATGATTGTGGATCGGAGCTTCGCACTTGATTAGACTGTCCAAGAATTGAGGCCCTGCAACAAGAAGCACCGTCAGAGCTGCCCAGCCGGGGTTGGCCGAATAGCCCCTCCGGTGTGGGAATGAGTAATCGAGGAAGGAGAAAGATGCTCCCTAAGTGTAGAGAGTTCAGTTTAGATTAGTTACCTTCAATGTGAAGTTAGTGTGGTTTATATCGAACTCCTTGCTTGTTGTCCAAGATAGTTTCACGGAGCTCTGGTGCTGCCAAGTTTCCTTTTAGCATTCATCAAGGTGGAGGATCATCTGGTAGTTGTCAAAGGGTGCATATATTCATTGTAGTCATGCTGATAACAAACCACATTCCTCTGGTTTAACTATTTTCGTAATTCTAGGTGTAGGGGACCAGCTGAGGTGGCATTTTGCACATGCATATACTCACAGCTTCCACGTTTTTGTGAAAGGTTCCCTCGGCTCGGTACCGTTGTACCTCAGCTCGGCCTTTTGCGAGACTACTGTAGGGATGGGTTCACCCATTTTGATATCTGTGTATGGAACTTGGCCCCACTTTGGTTCTGATGATGGGTTCGACCCATTAGTTCGGCCCATAGAATGAGTCCTACAGCTCGGCTCCAGCCTAGTATCGCAGCTGGACTGGCCTTTCCACTGCGAGTTGAGCCCAAGTGCTTGAGGACTTGGGTGGACTGTTGGTAATGGGGTTGGGCTTGGTTGGGTTGCCCACATGCTCATCTGACCGATTTGGATTTGGGCTTAGGAGATTGGATCGGCCCAAGGCTTGGATTCGACCCATTTCATATCTAGCCCCTTCATCGATGAGCCTCACACACACACACATCAAGAGCCAAGATCAAATTGGGGGTCATGGAACCCCTAAAAAAGAAAGTCTTAAACATTTCTGTTTAACAATTAATGGGTAAATTATCTGTGACACACCCTCAACTATCATTGAATATTATTTTACCGTCTCCATTAGAAGATTGTACATTTTAACCCCCCTAAAACACACAAAAACTCATGCTATGGTGAGGTAATTACCACCCACCATGCACTGGCAGCTCTGTGATTCTTCATTTCTCTCATGAATCAGGGTTGAGCTTCATGGGTGAGAATTAAAAGACACATAATTCATGTAGTTTGTACCTTCTTTTCATTTGGCTCTTTGGTTTTGCTTGCAACTAAGAACTCCTTCGGCAACTATATATTTTAATTAAAAAGTTAAAAAATCATTATAAGTTGTTATATCACTCTTTCTACTTTTCTGATATCTTTTTGTAAGAAATTAAAAAATTATTAAAATAATTTGTTTCCAAATGAGGCCTTAGTATTTTTGAGCCTTGCCTGGTCAGCCTCTAAGGTTGCATGGTCCTTTTTTTTTTAACTTAAATAAGTTGTTTATGTCTCACAAAATTATAAGCAAACGCTATACTAATCATTTTGATATATTTTCAAACTAAAAAAGTTAGAAGTAATCTTATAAACTTCACCAAAGACCATTATATAGTATTGATATCGTAATCCGTCACATAATAGGGGAATGTGACGGATGTTACCATTTTGTTCTGTGAAGCAGATTTGGGGGAAATGGTCAATATAACAAAAGTGTGGTCTGTGGGGTAGGGATTCCAGATGAGTTGGGTCAAGATTTTGCATGTAGGTTGAATTGTAAATTCCAGAAATTGCCCATCAAATACTTGGGGCTGCCTTTAGGGGCCAGCCCAAGAAGTAGCAGAACTTGGCGGCCAGTGATTGATAAGTGTAAACAAAGGCTTGCTTCTTGGAAGAGGAGATATCTATCATTTGCAGGTCGGCTAACTTTGATTAAGTCTGTCCTTACCAGCTTACCTATATTTTATCTCTTACTATTTAAGATGCCTGAGATGGTAGCAAAAAAGATGGAAAGCATTCAGTTTGGTTTTCTTTGGGGTGGCTCAGATTTGAGGAGGAAAGTGCATTTGGTGAAATGAGAGGATGTTTCTAAAAGTAAAAACATAGGAGGGTTGGGTGTTAAGAGAATTAGAATTATGAATGTATGCCTTTTACTGAAGTGGTGGTGGAGGTTTGGTACTGAAGAGAACTCTCTTTGGAAAGATGTTATATGTGGTAAGTACAGGGAGTTAGGTGGGGCATGGTTTCCTTCTAATGAGAGGGTAGCACTTTCTCCAAGATATGGGCTGACATTATTTACACTGTGGCTTCTAGGGCAGAGCTTATGCAGTTTTTTAAGAGCAATGCTATGGTCAAGATTGGAGATGGCAGAAGAATTAGATTTTGGTCTGATTGTTGGGCAGAGGGCGTCTGTCTTAGAGATGAATTTCCTAGGCTATACTCCCTATCAGTTGACAAGCAAGGGTCTGTATTCATGTTTCACAGCAATAGAGATGTATATGGGAATTGGGTGTTTAATTTTAGGAGGCCCCTCTTTGCCTAGGAGGAAAAAGAATTAAGTAGATTGCTACAGCATCTAAGTAGCCCCCTTTTGCTCAGAGCTAATGTTGCTAACTGTCTGACTTGGAATGCTACTTCATCTGGCGGCTTTAGTGTATCATTTGTCTATCAGTGTTTTGAATTGGGCTTTGGGTCTAATAGTTTGATCTCTACTTGGTTGTGGAAGGCCCCTGCTCCACAAAGAGCACTATTCTTTGGTTGGTTGGTTTGGAGGGGAAGAATCAAATCTGCTAGTTATTTGCATAGGATTGGTATCCTCAATGCCAATGTTGATGTCTGCTGTGTTTTCTGCGAAGAAGCGGAGGAAACTGTTAATCATGTGTTACTTCACTGCCCTTGTGTGTGGCTGATTTGGTCTCATTTTGTCAAAAGGTGGGGGCTGCAGTGGGTTTCACTTGGTTCGGTTCAGAGTGCTCTTCAATGGTGGTATGGTTGTAGAATGAGGCAAATTGAAAAGAAGTTGTGGAGTGTAATACCATATGCTATTTTCTGGTCAATATGGAAACAGAGGAACGACTCTGTGTTCAATGGGGTGGAACCTAATTTCGTTGCTCTGTGTGAAACCATTGAGGTACGAATTGCTTTGTGGGTTAAATCCTATGTCCCAGCTTTGAACTACACTGTCCATGATCTGGTGCATAATCTGCAGCAGATTAGAAAGTGCTTGCCTCAGGAGTTCATGCAGCAGATTGCTCTGGTAACTTATAGAGTTGGAAGGTAATATAGGATTGGAATTATGGTGTCTTTTGGTAGCTCAACAGAGTTGATGTCTGTTGTTCTGGTCTTGATGATTAGCCCTGGGGTGTTCTGGTTGCATGCTGATGAGGTGCTCTGGTTGTTTGGGTTCTATCTCCTTATTGTCATGTTTGGACTGGGTCATTTATGGGGGATGCTCTGTCGGCTGGATTATGCTATATATCCTGGGTGGCAGTAAGGTTTGGGGGATGCTATATATCCTGGTTAATCTGATCTGCTTGGTGGAGAGGTTGCCATGCTATGTTGAAAGGTAGGCTGAGCTGCATCAGGTACACTGGTTGGTGTTGCATCAGAAATGGAATTTGAGCTGCAACTGGTTTTGATGAATCTTCTGAGGAGTGATGCATACAATTGGAATGCTGCAACTGTGCTGTTTTGGTGTCTAATCTACCTGTTCTGTTGTGGTGCTGTGCTGTTGGTCTGTGTGAATGAGGTGTTCTTGGTGAATGCTACGATCAGGTGCGTCAGATGTTTTTGCTGCTGTGTTCGATTAAACAAAAATGGGGCTTGGATTGATTGAAGGGCTGATGGAGTTGTTTTGAATGAAGGGCTGCGGTAGATTATCTCTTGATCTGTTTGGTGTTTGGAGGTTTTGGAGGTTTTGGTGCTTGGTTGGGCTGTTGTAGAGCCACAGCCTAGAAGGGTTGCTAGTTTTAATCTCTTTGGTTTTCTTGCTTTTGTTTTGTGCGTTGGTTTCTCACCAACTAGGAGGTTGGAACTTCTTATAGCTCAAAGCTCCTCTTTATTGATGTAAATTGTTTTTTCCATCAATAAAGTCTTCTTTTTGCCGATAAAAAAAAAAATTATCTCCTGATCTGTTTGGTGTTTGGAGGTTTTGGAGGTTTTGGTGCTTGGTTGGGCTGTTGTAGAGCCACAGCCTGGAAGGGCTGCTGGTTTTAATCTCTTTGGTTTTCTTGTTTTTGTTTTGTGCGTTGGTTTCTCACCAACTAGGATGTTGGAGCTTCTTATAGCTCCAAGCTCATCTTTATTGATGTAAATTGTTTTTTCCATCAATAAAGTCTTCTTTTTGCCGATAAAAAAAAAAAAAATAGGGGAATGTGACATTTGTGCATGCCCATGTCAAGTATTGGCAGTATGGTCATAATATAAATTTATATATATATATATATAGAGAGAGAGAGAGAGAGAGAGAAAGAAAGAAAGAGAGAGAGAGAGACATAAGACGAGAAACATGTTAGAATTGTTTAAATCATAGTTTAGTTATGCTAAGATTTTGAATCTGTGGAGTACCAAGACCGTGCTAGAAATGTTTATTTGAGACTCATCTTTTGTATGTTATATATTCACTGCAAGCAATGAATGGTCCTTTAAATGCAGCTGCAAATAATCAACTAACCCACATACTCCTCTACCTGCTTATTTACTTCCCTCTTCTGTCCACTCTTTATATTCACCTCTCCTTCTGAAAGCACTCCATCTCTCACACTCAGACCACCTCTTTCCCTTCTTTCCTTGCTTTATCTTCTCGGTGAGGTATCTTTGAAAGCAGAGATGGAGAGGGAGAGAAACATTCAACAGACTTCTCTGCTCATGTGGACTTTGGTTGCTGCTTTGCTGTCTCAGAACTTGCTCATTCCTGTCAAGTCTATCATTAGTGCTGATGATCAAAAGAACTATTACTCTCCAGACCCACATACAGGAACCCCTCCATCCCGTCTCTCTCTCTCTCTCTCTCTCTCTCACTCACACACACACACACACACACAAACACACAACTTGGGAGTCTCATGGTTTGTTTTATCACTGTTTTTAGTTCTTGCAGTATAGCAACTTTTTTAGATAGACATGTCTTTCATTAGTTCTTTCTAACTATTTTAGCTGTATTTGGAAGAAAATTTGTCACCATCAACTACGGGTGAGTGACCATAGATTTGCAGCTCCCATAGCTAAATACACAACCTAAGACTGAATACTGTAGATACCTCTATAATAATAGTTTTAAATTTAGCAATCGCCCGCTGATGAAAATTGTTAGTTTTAATTGCCCCACCAAAAACAGGGGGAAAATGAAAAATAAATAAAAGATAATAAAAGAAAAGAACGACACTCGGGCTAAGACGGTGGTTTTACTGGTTGCAGGTTCACATGGAAGTCCACCACATGGCGGTGGAGGTAGCTATGGAAGCACATCACCCTCTCACGGAACCCCATCACATGGAGGCGGTAGCTATGGAAGCACACCACCCTCTCATGGAGGCGGAGGTAGCTATGGAGGTACACCACCTTCGAACTGTGGAAACCCACCAAGCGGAGGACATTATGATCCTACGCCAGCCCCTCCAACAAGCGGTGGTGGTGGTTACTACAATTCCCCTCCAACTTATGGCGGAGATACCCCACCAACACCCATCATTGAAACTCCGCCGACACCCATCATTGAAACTCCGCCAACACCCATCATTGAAACTCCACCAACCACCCCAATCATTGATCCTGGCACCCCCACAATACCCTCACCACCATTTGTCTATGATCCAAATTCACCACCTTTTACATGCAAGTAAGTTATAATTATAACAGCACGCATGAGCCTGTGAATCACAAACAATATATTGTTCCAATGTAAAGCATCAACAAAATTTAATATTTTGTTTGTGAACACTGCAGTTATTGGAGGACTCACCCAGGACTCATATGGAGCGTGTTGGGATTTTGGGGGACCGTGGGCGGAGCGTTTGGTACAGCTAGTGTTCCGGGGTTTGGATCAAATCTTAGCTTGAAACAAGCACTTTTGAATGCTCGTACCGATGGGTTCGGGGCGCTCTACCGAGAAGGGACGGCTTCGTTGTTGAACTCCATGGTGGATACGAAGTTCCCTTTAACGACCAAGCAAGTCAGAGACAATTTCATGGCGGCAATTGGCTCAAACAAGGCTGCAGCGACTCAAGCCCGTCTCTTCAAGCTTGCAAATGAGGGTAGACTCAAGCCAAGAACTTAAAAGTTCAAACTATTATTCAATCAGTCAGTCAGTCACTTCTCAGTGTCTATCTAGCTATTTTCAATCTGATATTTTGTTATATGCATTTTCTTAGGTCATCGTTTGCGGGGTCACTTTTAGGATGGGATTTTATGCTTGTTTCTTTCTTAGTTACCTATGATGTTACATTTTATTACGACGGATACCAACTTTATGTTTTGATTTTCAGTTATAAATAAGATTAGTGGTTTGGTTTGTGCTATCTCTATTTATGCCAACATAATAATAATATTACTTACTAGAAATAAAGGTAACCAATCAGAGGAAAATAGCCAACTAATCAAACTTGGATCATATGCTGTCCTAAACAATGTTTGCCTGTTAATGAAATTCAACTTCCACTCCAAGTGAAAAAGCACCTGTACCTGAAGGAAATTAATTAAACTTTAATGTTCAGGCATTCCATGAAGAGTAGGCTTAAGGCTGTTGTAAGATTCAAGCTGATTCAAACAACTCTAAAAACACTAGGAATGTGTCATTAATCATACTAAATGTCAAGAATTATCATGCCCAGATTATTGTATGACCACAGATCTCAGATGTCAAAACTGGACTACATGGTTCTACAGGCAGCTAATATTTCTAAATTGTTCACTATTTATTTTGGGGAGTACAATGCAACTAATTCCTTATCCACATTACTCAGTAAGGCCAATCATGAAGTTAAGTAGGCATTAACTGTAACCTATAAAGCATGGGCACTTCATAAAGCATGGGCACTTCAAATTAATAGTGACACGCTAAGACACATGTGAAACACGCTACTTGGCATTTCTTTTTATTATTTTCTCTGGTTTAACACTTTGGGGACATCATACAACAAACCTCAAGACACATTTAACTTGTGCTTATTTATTTTTTAAGGATGATCTATTCATTATTAAATTAAAAGGTAAATTACACTAACTTCCTAAGAGCCTAAGAGGTTTGTAGAAAATACATCAAGCGTTAGAAGTTTAACATAATTACACCATACTCCCTTAAAATTTTCATTTATATAACACTTTGTCCAATTTTCATTAGTTATTCATTTGTAGAATGAGCATAAAAATGGTGTTAACATCTCTTTTATATTATAATATATATTTTTATTATTGACTATCTTGTGTTTACATCACATTTAAATTAGTTTCGATCACTTTAGCTTCACTAAAAAAGAGATTGATGTAATTATACTAAATTTGTGAATTGATTTTTTTTGTAAATCTCAAAGATGGTCAATTTAATTTACCCTATATTAATTTTTTTTTTTGATATTTGTGATATGTAATGGTTTATTTTTGACAAAATTTTCCTTTATATGTTGAATGAAAATAAAGGTTTTAGAAGTATCATAAGAAATTCTAGATCCCAGATACACAAGGTTTTAGCGGCCCGTTTGTTTTGGGTTAAGTAGATGGGAGGGGATTAGGATGGTGGAAGTGTTATTTAATGTTGTGTTTGTTTGTAGAGTTATGGAGGGGATTAGAATGGTGGAGGTGATACAGATGGAGGTTGGGGAGGATATTGAGATGGAGGTTGGGGAGATGGTATTAGAAAAATAGTGAGGGGATTATAAATTTTTTTATTTTTTTTATTTGTTATATATTGGGAATTTTTTAATAAATATTAATGTTTAATTTTTTATATTTTTTTATTTGTTTTATTATTTTATATAAAAATAATTTAACAATTCCTACACTAACAATTATTATCAAAATAAACACAATTTTATTTAATCTCCTCACTATAAATCTCCTCTATTCTACCTCTCAAAATAAAGGGGACCTAGAAGTTCAACAGCTAAACCAGGGTCATACTTCCTGAGTACATTTAACAGCAATGCTACAGACCCCCAGTGGGAATGACCCCCAGTGACCCCCAGTGCCACGTGTCGGTCTGGGGTTGACTGAAAACTCAAGAAAAAAAAAAAAAAAAAAAACTGTTTTTTTTTAACCAATGGGAAGGGGAAGGCACGGATCTAGAAGACAGAAAGGCAAAGACGTGCTTTAGAATCAAGAATAAGGATGGGATATCAAGAGCATAAAGAATACGAGAAATAAAAGGTCAAGAACAGTAACAAGAGTGCAAGAAAGTGGTGAACAATATGTATTCAAGATATGGGCAAGATCAAAACTATTTAATAAATATGTTCAGATATGTGATTCGTAAGATTTGAAACAAAAATGGCAACAAGTAATGAAGAATATCAACAGAATTGAAAACGAAAGGAACAGTAGCTTACCAGAAGAAGTAAGGCCGGAATAAGGTTCGCTAAAGTCAGACGATGGTTACAGGAGTAACAGAGTAGCGAAAGCTTTACCAGAAAGACGAATGAAGACAATTGTAGAACTTGGGACTGGAACAATGGCGTATTCAAGAGCTAGAGAGAGAAAAAGTGAAGAGAAATCGAATGCAAAAGTGAAAAAATGAAGAAAGAGGGAAAGGTTTTGTCAAAAATTTGAAACGACGGCAAAACGAAGCATTAAATGCTCCTGGAACAATGCATACGTCAGACGGCGCACACAGACGCAATACGGCTTGCAAGCGCGTCATGAACACGGTCCAATAAGGTGGAGACGCATGAATGAAACGGTTGAGTAAATGATACGTGATAGCTCACACACGTGAAAGAATTCACTGGAATTCTTGTTCTCTGAAGAGAACATGTCGGCCTGAAATGAATGATCTCGGCTAAGGAGTTCTTGAGCCGATGTACAGGAGGAAGTACCGATATAGGTTCCATCACCTCAAAATGCCGAGGTAATAGAACCTAGGGGGCAGTTGTGGGGATATATTTTCTGAGTACCAACACGTGACAAGGTGACGCCGATGTGTCAACCAAGGTGCCACGTGTCCTGGTCATTATGCCGAGGTTATCTCGGAGTTGCCGAGGTTATCTCCGAAGATATCGGAATCCGAGATAAACGGATAAGGGACAAGAGTCCTAAAATGAAGAGGAGACTTAGTCAAGATAAGGATAAAGCTCTTAAGGAGTTTATATTTATCTCTTGAGGAGTCCAAAGTAAGTACTGAACAGGAATCCATAGAAGTCAGGCTTCTACTGGGATTAGGATTGAGGTAACTATAAAATAGAGGCACCCCTGTGGGTCTAAAGTACACAATTTATGCTTTGAGCAGTAAGTTTAGCACTTGATTATCTTTGAGAGATATACTGACTTGGTCGTCGGAGTCCCCCGGGGTGGAAGAACCACCACCGGAGCCTTCTCTTTCTGTTACAGGTTAGCTGAAGCCATCTACTTTGCCGGTGCTCTCTAGCTGATTACTAAACGGGCAGTGTGGTCAGAAAAATACTCATACAATAAGCTTTCCCATTGATTTGCAATTATTTTTGAAAACTTACACTCAATTGTAATTTTCCTAAAAAAAATTATGAAAATACTTCATTCTCTTTTGCCGCTCTCACTCTTAATGGATCTCCAATAGGCTCTTCAAAAGAGGTCGTAATGGATCTCCAATAAGCTCTTCAAAAGAGATTTGTTGACTATTCACTACAACATATAACAGTGTTAGAGATAAAATGTTTTAGTCTCTAAAAGTAAAAATTTGGTTACAAAAGATATTAAGGGATCAATTTCTACTATCATGAGGATAGTCGTTAAAAGGTCGTCTCGAAAAGTCAAAAATAAGGCTTTTAGCGACAAAATTTTGAAAATATCACTAATAAATAGAGTTTAGGGACAAAATAATTTGGTCTCAAAATTGTTTATTTTTTGAGACAAAAAATTTGGTTCCAAAAGGATGATAATTTATCACTAATGTCTAATTTTCGTTACTAAAAATATAATAACGACACTTTTTGCAACAAAAATATTTGGTCCCTAAAAATAATTTTGTTCCTAAATTTTGATTTCTAAAACCTTAATTTTTTGTAGTGATTGTAGCTAGCTCACTCATCTATTTTACTCCCTCCAACGAGCTAGCTATTATATTAGCTATTTTAACAAATTCTTCTAGCTTTTATTTGGAGAGCATTTGGAAGTTCTTTAAAGTTTAAATAGTTTGTGTGGATCGATAAGTAAAATAAAAAGTAACGTTAGAGCACATAAATGGAGGGAAAAAAAATATTTAGGCAAAATAAAAAGGATAAACTACCAATAGGTCATAATAGTTGGACTTAATTCCCATCAAGTCCTATTGAAAATAAGTCTTGGTAAAATTGTCACTAAAAATAATTTTTTTGTGATAATTTTTTACATACGTCGTTAAAAATTGACAATTAGTGACTTTTTTTGTCATGATTTTTATAAATTGTAGCTAAAACTTACAATTAGTGACTTTTTTTATGATAAATTTTTCCCTTAGGGCCTATAAGACAATAAGTCTACTTATTAGGATCTACACGTAAATACCCTAAATAAAAAAAAAGTATACTTTTATACTTTAAGTAACGAAAAATAGCATTGGTTGAAGTAATCTTAAGAACCCTTCTAATTGCTACACATCACCCAAGTAGTTGCTAAAATGTTGGTTTCAAAACAACCAAATGAATCAAGAGCCCAATTGTAAGTGTAATTTAAGTGGTTTAAAAACCAGCGAAAGAAGGGAAAAGAGAGGGGAGTTCGGATCCTTGATTGCCCTCTCCAGCGGCCCTTCCTGCAGCGCCCCAAAACAACGTCGTTTTGGGGCCCAAAAAAAAAAAAAGAAAAAAAGAAAGAAAGAAGAGACAGAGAAGGAAATGGGTCTTCTTTGGAGATGAGGATTTGTTGGGTTTCTTCTGATCAATTCTCAAGGCTCTCATGGAAGCAGAGATCTTCCAATTCTTCTCATTGGCTTCATCTGTCTCTATCTACTGTTGTCTGCACTCTTCACTAATGGAGTGTCCTCTCTGCAAATCATACAAATTTGAATAACCCCAAAAACAAAGATGAAAATTTTGTAAGAGAACAAAAAAATCAATCCTGTTTGGTTGCAGAGAAAATGTAATGATAATAGATCAAATTAAAATTTTGGGTTTGAATTTCCCATATTGAGAGCAAACTCTCTTGGGTCCAATCCATTTTTTTTTTATGCGTTTCTCAATTTTCAAAGACCAAACTAAGAAACATTTACTACAAATTTTCCCTTTCATTTGACTTGGTGTTCTCCACATCCAAACACAGTAAACGGAAACATAAACTAGGGTTCTCAAATTCAAAAGAAGAGAGAAAGAGAAAGAGAGAGAGAAAATGGGACAAACCTGTACATGAAGATGTCTTTGTT